GAAAAAGGGTGCCAGGCCGAAAACGGGATGCAGCCGAAACAGCAAAAAGATAGACCAGGGATCGAGCCCTGGCGGAGTCCGTAACAGTTTCCCTGTAACCAACTGGCGTGCTGCAACTGTCTGAGTACCCACATATGGAAAATGTTGTAAGAGGCCTCTGGTGGATATTCAGGCCCGCCTTCACTTAGAGCGGGCACAATTCTTGCTGGGCCCCACAGCCTAGAACACTCAAATGTCTGTCGGGGCCATGTGAGGGCTCAGCCTTCGCAAATAACTCAACTACAGATCAATCGACATGATTGATTTTTTTTTTTTTTTTTTTTTTTTTTTTTAATTGAACAGGTCCTTATGGTCCTGGCTCCTTATCCATTCTGGGGAGCGTCAGTCCGGTTCCTTTCCACCGGCATGTCCAAAAACTGGAGTACATGGTGAACGCCCTCACGCTTCGTTCCGTCTGGCCGAAGGAACCCTGACCAGCATTGATTGCTCCTTGTAAGGAGGATTGACTGTCAGCTTGCCCTACCCCTTTTCCTCTCAGAGTCTCCTATGTCTCTGCCAGATATTCCGTATTTACCAAGAAAAGAGGAGAGATATCTTTGCTGTTGAGATTACACTCAGAGTTTGTTTTCCTCTACGTCCCTCTCCCTGTGGTGTACCACTTCTTCCAAATCAATCTATTGTCCACCAGTGGCGATCTTCCCTTGTAAAAGCCAGTCTCTTGTAAAAACTCGTCTCCTTGCGGCTATCCATTCTGGTCTGCCTTTCGTGCTCACAGACACATCCCTCCATCTGACTCGAATCTCTGTTTCTGCCATTTTCAGTAGTAGAGCCCACATTTCTTCTTTTGGGACCTCAGTTTCTTCGATTGTCTTGGTGCATCTCCTCTTCCAAATCACCCACAGAGCCAACTTTCTGAGAAGATGGTACCAGACCTCCTTTCCTCCTTTAAGGTTGTTAGTGTTGTTAGATAAGAGCAAGATGTTGAGGGGGGTTGTGGGCGGGGGGGGTGACGAGAAGAGGCTGTGCCACAGGTTGCACACTTTGTTCCAGATCCACTTTGCTTCCGAGCAGTACAGTAGGCAGTGGGGTATGTCTTCGGGGATGTTATCAGAGCAGAGTTTGCACAGGTCGGTGCTGTTGGGCTCTGTGTGCTTCCTCCTCTTGTGGAGCCATTGGTTAGTTGGCAGAGCGGCGTGGACTGTGAGCCATTGCATACTTCGGATCCTAACTGGTCTAATGGATAGGAACTGACGTCGTATTCATCTATCCTTCTCGTTCTCCTTGTTTTGTCCTGTTTCCAAACCCATTCCTTCGGATCGAACTCTAGCTCAGAGATGCTGAGGTCCGGTCTGAAGAGTATCCAGGGTTTGTTCTTTGATACTCTCACTTTCCTCGGCCGAAATATGTCTAGTATCTCGCACTGGGGGTCTCTGTTCTGGATTTCCAACTCATTGGTGGTGTGCTTGGCTACTGGGTAGGAGAAGAACTTAGATAGATAACCGGGTGGGTTGGTCCTAGCGACGAATCTGTATGCTCTAGTAGGCTGAGTTTGGGATATCAGTACCCCCCAGTCCCCCGCTTTCCATGAGAAGTTCTCCCTTAGGAGGGGGAGCCAGCGTGTTGGGATGCTATTTTGTATCTGCTGAAGGTTGTCAGAGAGGGTACGGCAGCCTCTTAGGACATTGCGTAGTTCTTGGTCAGTAGCCCATAGTCCTTGGTCTTCTTCCCAGATGTGTCTGACTTGCCACACGCCTCTTTCTACCCAGGAGAGCCACCTGCGGTCCTTGGAGCGTAGGGTCCATTCCTGTCCGCTGGGGTCGGTGATCCAGGGGTTGGAGAAAAGAGGTTGTCTCAGGACTTCTTCTCTGTTTTCCGGTGCCCCGTGTTTGTTTGGCATCATTCTCCGCCAGGCTTTGATGGTGGGGGTCCAGTATGGACTGGCTGCTGGAGTGGGGTTTGTGCTAGGTTGTGCGGGGTTTTTCCTGCGTGGTCTGCCCAATTTTATTGTCCAGCCCTTTGCCATGAGCCAAAACAGACCGTTCATGTTCGGGGGGGAGTTGATGGGGGCTAGGTTTCTGATGCTGTCAAGCGCCATCTGGGTCCACGGSAGGAATTGTCTAGTCAAGATCTTGAGGATCCATTTTATCTGCAATGCTATGGATTCCTGTTTGGGGTCGATGATCCCGAGGMCCCCTTCCTGTGGTTTTCTRGTGATGTGRTTCCACGCCACCCTGTTTATACAGGTGGTCCTGTTAGGATCGCCTGTCCACAGATAACATCTCACCTTGCTCTTCAATTTTTTGATGTCGTCGTTAGGGGGGACCAGATGGAAGCCATATACCACAGTGTGGAGAAGATAGCTGTGTTAATTAGTAACGCCCGTCCGATTAGAGAGGCCTGCGCGCTCTTGCATTGGGCCAGGCGGGTGATTGTCCTAGCAATTAGATTTTGGCCCATTCCTGCCCATACCCCTTCCTTGTTGATCATGATGCCTAGGAACCTTAATGCTTGCTCTCCCGTGGTCCATGTCATCGGTGTGGTTATGTCTGATGGTTGAGGGGGGGTGCCCTCCGCTAGCCACCACCCTTCGGTTTTGTTCCAGTTGACCCTCATTTCTGAGGCTAGTCTGAAAACTTCCATTGCCCTTACTAGAGCTTGGAAGGAGCTGTTGTTGGCGCGGATCAAGACAGTGAGGTCGTCAGCGAACATGAGTGCAGTGGGAAGGGCGAAGTCGTGTAGCGGGTTGGAATTCCGTTCAGTGAGGCGATCGATGGACGGGTCTTTACAGAGGAAGGGGGCTATGACTTCCATGATGAAAAGGAAAATGGGAGGGGCCAGTGGGTCGCCTTGTCTGACTGATCGCGAGATGGGGTAGGTGTCGGATAGGATTCTGTTGACCTGGACTCTGCCTGTTGCGTCTGCATACAGTATTCTGACCCAACTCCTAAAGTACGGGCCTACCCCCATTTTTTCCATGCATAAGTGGAGGAAATCCCAATTGACCTGGTCGTAGGCTTTCTCGAAATCGAAGAATAAGATTGCAACTTTTATTCGTTTTTCTGTGATCTTTTTTGCTGCCTCGTTCAGGGTCATTACGTTGTCTAGGATGTACCTTCCTGGGATGAAGCCTGCTTGATCTGTGTGAAAGCAGCTGTTTGTTAGCTTTGTGATTCTGTTCACGAGTGCCTTGGCTAGGATTTTGTAGGGCGTGGTTAAGAGGGAAATGGGTCTGTAATTCTTCAAGTCTTCTTTGTTTCCCTTCTTGTACAGCGGTGAGACCACGCTGGTACTCAATTCTTTTCCTAGGCCTCCTCTGCGCAAGCTTTCGTTGAAGAAGTCTAGCAGGTCTTCTCCCAGGGTCGGCCAAAAGCAACTCCAAAACTCTTTGGAGAGTCCGTCTATTCCCATCTGGGTCAGAGCTTGACTAGTCGAGATTGTTTTGTCGAGGTACGAGAGCATTAGTTGTCGAGCTGCTGTGTTTGCTGTGGTCGGGGGTGAGGGTGTCTTATACTCGTATAATTTTGCGTAGAAAGATCTTGCTATCCTTACCATCTCTGGTCCTGTTGTTTTAATGTTCCCGGAATCTGTTGGATAAGCTTCTATCATGTTGTTCCTTGCGTTCGCTTTTATTTTGGCGAAGAAGAATTTTGTCATGGATTCATTAAGTGTGTAGTCTGTCATCCTCGCTCTGATCTGCAGACCTCTCAGTTCCCATCTTCTCCACTCATTCAGTTCCTCTTTGGTGTCGTCGAGTAGTTCTTGATAAAATCCGCTGAAGGGGTCTTCTGCCAGATTTGCTTCTGCGACAGCTATTGCAAATTGGAGTTCTTCCCTTCTCTTCTTGCAGTCTCTGGCGGTTTCTCGGGATTCCGCTGATACCGTCTGTGTTAGGTCTGCATAACTATCAATGAACCATTGATGGCTATTCGTCTGTTTGGATTCCCGCTGTTTGCTGAGGGCCCAGTTTTCTCTGACTGCCTCAGCCATTCTTCCGGTTTTTAGGAGGGAGTTGTTCAGTCTGATAAACCCCTGGCCTGTTTCCACCGGTGCATTGAAGTTGAGCAGCAGTTGGATGGGCTTGTGGTCTAGCCCCTTGAACGCTGTTGATGGAAGGATTTCGGCCTCTTTGACTGTGCCGAGTAGGCTCTTGGAGATGAGGAAATAGTCTATCCTGGACAAGGATGTCCGGTTGGCTTGATTTTTCCTTATCCGGGAGAAAACTTTTTTGGCTGGGTACAGTGATCTGAGGGGGTCGATGAGTTCAAACTCGGTCATCAGATTCCGGATCTGGGTACCTGCTCTAGTGGGTCCCATTAATGCTGCTCTTGATATTCGGTCCAGGTTTGGGTCCAGGGTGGTGTTCCAGTCCCCTGCGATGACAACGGGCTGTGGTTTTGGGATTAGAGTTTTGATACTCTCGAAGAAAGTCAGTCTGTCGGATTCCGCGTTAGGTGCATACAGGTTGATTATTCTCATGTCTTCTTCTTGCCATTTGATGTCCACCCATGACCATCTTCCTCCCTCGCTGTCCCCTTCGCTGTTTAGGATCTGTCCCTCAGCTAGGATTTTGGACGTTTTCGAGATGAGTATTGCCGTCCCTTTATTGCTCTGGCCTTCTTTGTTGGTCCATAGTGCGAAAGCGCAACCTCCTAACATTCTCTCCATTCTTTGTTGTATCTTTTGGTGGTTGTGCAGATTGGACAAGTGGGTCTCTTGGAGAAGTATGAGGTCGGGTTTGGGGAGGTTTTTACTCACCAGGCTTGTTCGGATATCCCTAAGCTTGTCTTTCTCAGTTAGTATGTTGCCCAAGCCATTGACGTTCCAGCTTACTACCTGGAGTCCCTTAGCGTACCAGTCTATCCTTGGTGGGCGTTCCTGCCCGTTTCTGCTCCTTGCGGGGTTCTGCATTGGTATCTTTTTTTTTTTTTTTTTTTTTTTTTTTTTTTTTTTTTTTTTTTTTTTTTTTTTCTCTTTCCTGTTTTTTTGATACCTTCTTTTTTGAGATTGTTGTTCGTTTGTTTGGTATGTGCGTTGAGAGTTTTCTGTCCATTTTTACCGACGGTGAGTTATTCAGTCCGCTGCTGCCTGGGTCTTGCTGCAGTCGGTGTCCTCGTCTTTGCTGTCCTCGTTTGTCGCTGAGGATCTCAGGCTGTACTCGCCAGCGCTGCTCTCCGTAGTCGAGGCAGCCCCTGCGTCGTCTCGCCCAGGGGAGATCTTGTCGCCCACATCCATCTCGTCTTCCTCGTCGTCATCCATGTCTGATTCTTCCCTCCCCATATCCACGTCGATGGTGGTCGCCTCGTCCTGCAGCGAGGTCTTGGAGGTCAGTATGCGGGTCCTGATGATGTTGGCCAGCGAGTCTGCGATGATGTCGGTTGTGCTAAACCTTCCGTTCAGCACGTTGTATGGCAACATCGTGATCGTGTCCCAGGCTCTCCATGTCAGGCCTTCGCAGAGTTTGGCTTTCTCGTCGAGCTTGACCAGGATGGGATCGAAGGGAGTGAGGATCAGTTCACCCCGCGCCTTCCCTTCGGCTGTCTGCTCCGGTGGCGGGACTCCAAACACCCCCAGTGGGACCTCCGTTGAGATATTGTCCCTGATGCTCTTGGCCAGGGCTTTGTCATCGTCGAGGGTGGGAATTGTGAACGCTGCGTCTGTGGCCACCTGCCACTCATTGAATTTGTTTCTGAACCTGACTGGGATCAGCGGTCTTGCCGCCCTCATGGTCCCCCTATCAACTCTTGCTGATTTGGGGACGTCGGGCGCCTTGTTCTCCGCGATCATCCGAATTGTTATGAACTTCTCTCCTTGCTCCTTTTTATAGTCCTGGTTCTGGTCGAATAACCTTTTTGTCTGTGCTGCGACTGTTGCAATTTCCTGCGTGAGTCTGCGCTCTTCGTTCTTGTTGCCTGCTTCGTCCTTGGGGGGACCCTTTGGCCTCTTGTCCCTTCCCTTCGATGGTTTCCAGTTTTTGGAAACCATGTCTCTGATGGAGTCTGTCGAAGTTTGGGGATCGAAGCCTGTGGTGCTGTCTGTCCCAGCAGATTCTCTTTCTCTTTTTTTCGTAATATCTGAAGGCGCTGAACTCCGAGAGCTCGGAGTTCATGCGCAGCAGATCGAAAAAGTTCTTGGATTGTGGGATTCCGGCCACTGCTTTTCCCTTGGCTGGCTTCCCTGTCCTTTCCAAGTGTTTCATGCATGCCAGCCTAACGTCGAATTCAAGTGTTTCATGCATGCCAGCCTAACGTCGAATTCTTTCTCCCTTTCGTATTTTGCTCGCTGCAGGTACTCTTCGAGCCAAGGAATGGGGCTTGCTTTGCTTTGTGAGGTGTCCRTTCCTGTTTTCATATTCGTTGAGTTCGGGTCKGTCCCARGGGGGGTGTCGTCGRTGGGGGGGAGTTCAGATTCGAGAGTCTTACCTGATCCCTCCTCCGTTGCCCTTCTCTTCTTACTTGCCCTGTCCTCTTGGGAGTTCTTGGCGTAGGGAGAGGCATTCCGCTTGAGAGCGGGGGGGAGCTCTGGTTTGGGGTGGCGGTGCTCGAGGGTTTGTTTCGCTTCCTGCAGCAGAGTGTCGTTGTCCAGGTTGGTGTTAAGGCATGTTTCTGCTGTCTTGGTCCTGATTGTCTCCATGTCCCACAGCAGATCTTCATGTTTTTTCTCTTCCCTGATCGCTCTTGGGTCGATGATCTGATCTTTGTGGATTTTTCCTGGGATACCTGTTACTTTCTTTGCTCCCACTGCGTGCCATCTGCTGTCATAGGGGGGGAATATGTCTGGCTGTTTTGTTGATGGGTTCGTGTTGTATGTCCAGATCCATTTCGGGTCGGCGATGGTGTCGTCGAAGACCCACCCGTTGTAGTCCTGGTCGTTAACGAACCATATTCCCTTTGCTTCTTCGACTTCCACAAGCATGTTCTGTCWCAGTTTCTTCTCTTTGGAGTGTTCTGGGGATCTCGGGCACGCTGRGTCTRTGCCCAGGTGTCCTCTTTCKCTGCACCTGAAACAGATGGGGGCATCTTTCGTCGAGACTGTTACCGAAGATGCTTCCTCCCCTATGCAAAATTCCCATTCTTCAGGGAATTCGGGGTTTGATTCCGTGTTTA